GTGGAAGGAGGAAAGATGCATTATTTGTGATTGTAATTTCTTCTCTTCTTGCTTCATACAGATATATATATGCAAAACTAAAATGTAAATACAACAAGAGAGTTGATTAAAATACATAAAAAATCTGGGGGCTGAGCACATTCCCTAACAGAACATAGTAACAATTAAGGCTGGGAGCAGGAACAGATTATTTGAAGAACTAGCTGCTAAGCAAGATTTTATCAGATCAGTAGTAACCTTTAGATTTCTCAGCAGAACTAAAACTAGGGCATTTTGTTCATTCCCAAGCCTTTTTGGTAATTCTTCTTTTTTGGAAGAAAGAATGTAAGAACTGAAACTATTTCAATGTAGTTGTTTTGTAAGCAGACCTAATAAAAAAGTCCAGCGGGAGAGAAATTGGACAATCCTGGTTGAACTGGGTTTTAATTTTTTAAATTTCTTATTTGCATTTACCTAGAAAACTAGTTGTTCGGTATTCACTTTAAGAAAAAGCATCCACTTTTTCCCAGCAAGCAGTCTTTGATACCTGATTAAATTAACAGGACCCTTACCACCATTCACTTCTAGCTCCATCTCGCTTTAGCAGAATTACAATTGGAATTATAATTGGCTGGAGGGCGCCTGGCAGCACGCTCCAGGCCGTGCAAGTAAGTAGAAGCCTAAACCGGTATTTTATCAAGTTCGCAGTCGCCGGCTGCAGTTTAGAGACTAACCCGCACTCCATCCTTATCCCAGGGGCACTAAGCTTTCAAAGGAAAAGTTAGATCCCTAGGCTTTTATCCACTTTCCCTTGAAAACCTCCCGCTGGACCCTAAAGGTCGCCACGGGTCCCAGCCTTCGCGCCTCGCCTTGCAGGCGGGCTGGGGATGGCGGCGGAGTGCACCGCGGTGGGGCGCTGACCCGGTCCCGGATGCCCGGTTGGCCTCCGGACTCACCCGCTCCTCCGCGGAGTGGCGCCGGCACCGAAAAGGCTGAGACCCGCGTCTCTGGCCGATGGGTTCCGGGCGAACTGCGAGTGGTCTCCCGCGCGGACCGTAGAGGTGAATGCTGGGCGGCCGGCGCCTGGACAGTAAAAGCGGCGCGCGCCAGCCCCTCCCCGCCTCGCCACGCCTCCATGGCCGAGCTGCCCAGCCGACTGGAGAACGACCTCGAGGCAGCGGCCGGCTCACCGCGTGCTGCGCCGGAAGGCTTGAAAGGCACCGAGCGCTGAGGGGAGGGCTGAGGGGGACGCGTCCTCTCAGGGACCTCGCGAAATAAGATCGAGGCTTCAAAACAAGTTAACCTTGGCTGGGCGCAGTGGCTCACGCGAGTAATCCCAGCACTTTGGAAGGCAAAGGCGGGCGGATCACGAGGTCAAAAGATCCGGTTCATCCTGGCCAACATGGTGAAACCCGGTCTCTACTAAAAATACAAAAAATTAGCTATGCGTGGCGGTGCGTACCTGTGGTCCCAGCTACTCAGGAGTCTGAGGAAGGAGAATCTCCTGAACCCGGGAGGCAGAGGTTGCAGTGAGTCGAAATAGCGCCACTGCACTCCAGTCTGGGCGACAAGAGCAAAACTCTGTCTCAGAAAAAAATAATAATAATAAAAGCGAGTTGCCTGCTTTTGGTTGCTCCACGATTCCGTTAGGTTGGATGGTTTGTCCCTAGGCACGGTGACCTCACCTGGTGACAAATACACCGCCGTGCAAGCCCACTGAACAACCAGAATCTACGCCCAAAGTCCTCTAACATGATCAGCTGCTTCCCTCTCCTCAACAGGGTCAACATTTTACATCCTCTGGACAGGGGCACACGTTACACTACCCATTGCTCCTCAAGGGGGCTGCGAATCAAACAAAATTTTAATCAAACTAAAAGCAGTTTGTTTCTCCAAAAGAAGGTCCTCCGGTGGGGGAAAAAGCTTAAAAAGCCGCCTACCTTTCCCTTCCTGGGAGTTTTCTGGGGCCCGGGCAGCATCTTGGGCGCTGCTGTCCGAACCCCTTTGAGAGTCTTGGTCGTCAGGAATCTGGGTGCCTTGGTCGCCATCAATGGCGGCGCTGCTTTCGCAGTTGGTCTCAGACACACGGTCAACAAGAATTTGGGGCTCTTGTTGACTAGTTACTTCCGATGTTGAAACTACTGGGGTTGAATCATTTTCTGAAGAAATGAGAAGCGGTCCCTCCCGGCACGCCATGGTCCACCTCGTTGGGGTTGCAAAATGGCTTCCTGCGTAGTCATGTGACCTGGAGGGTTCCAGAACCTTCGTAAATATAAAAGGTTTTTTTACGTCTTTAACACGTAATACTATTAGGGACATTGCTGGTACCTGTTCAAGATTGTAGCAGCCAACTCTCCACTGCCTAACGCTTACCTAAACTTAATGAGAGGGAATAAATATTTTCGGAAGACTATTTTACAATCATTTTCTATTGAGACTTTTTTTTTTTTCATTCAGTTAAACTAGATTGTCAGAACTTCAGACCTAGACAAAATAGTTTTGATTTCTTTTAGAATCCATCCGCTAATCTTTATTTTCGCATTATGCCATGAGGCTACATCAAGGATTATGCTGCAAAATAAGCCAAAGAGACCAGTTTTACATTTACTGTACAATATTCTTGAAGGCACTCATTATATCAAAAAAAGAATCCTTTTATGAAAACTGAAATGAAAATTCTGTTTTTGGTAACTGAAATAGCTGATTGTTTTGAATTGTAAGAATAGCGTGAATTATATACTTAAGTCTATGATGGCTGCTAGGAAGCTCAGAACCAAATTTGCAACCCACCTCTAATTTAAACTATGAGACTTACTGGCATATGTTGACGTTTATCTTAAATAACTGTGTTATCTCCCATTTCCCTAATTATTTTTTGTCTTATGCAGTAAATAACACTAAAAGCTGCTCAAAGCCTTTTCAAAAAGAATCAGATATATGTGTTAGGTAAATGAAAATAGTACTCCTGGCCAGGCACGGTGGCTCACACCCACAGAGCTGATCCCAGCAATGTGGGAGGCCAAGGCAGGTGGATCAACTCACGTCAGGAGTTTGAGACCAGCCTGGCCAACATGATGAGACCCCACCCCCGCTCCGATCTCCACTAAAAATACAAAAATTAGCTGGGCGTGGTGGTGTGCGCCTGTAATCCCAGCTACTAGGCAGGCTGAGGCATGAGAATTGCTTGAACCCAGGAGGTGGAGGTTGCAGTGAGCGAGATCATGCCACTGCACTCCA